GCTGAGCTTCTCTGCCCTAGGAGCCTGGGATGGAGGTGGGGAGCTTCCTTGCAGGTGCTGGGACCGGCTATATATTCATAATACTTTTAAAGTCATGTATACCTGTATATTTCAAAGTCAGAATTTAAGTCTTTTATTTTCAAAATAAAAGACATTATTTATGTAATAAAATACAGTACATTTATAGATAGAAAAAACAATAGATTCTTATTCTTGAAAAAAATTAAATCCCATGCAAATTCTAACAACCACTGGGCAAACATAAAACCTTTGTGTGCTAGGTATTAATATTACATGATATCAAGTGGAAATTATCATTGTCTTCTACAATTAAAATAAATCCCATTAGCTTCAAATGGTTTTTGTAACATACGGAAAAAGAGAGGCAGGGGGAAAAAACCCCTCAAATTTGCTGTTACTGGTTGTTTATGATGAGGATTTAGTTCACATCTCTGGGTTTATACAAAAATTTTTTTGTAAACTCATAAATAATGCTTGGTCCAGCCAGGCATGGTGACGTGCACCTGTAATATGAGCTACTCCAGAGACTGTCATGCAGGGGCCGGGCCAGGCCAGGCTGGGCAACTTAACGAGAAAAATAAGAAAAGGTCCAGCTTGTGATTTTGCTAGTGGTCATAAAAATATCCAAGCTACACTCATGGAAGCTGAAACAGGAGCATCCTAAGTTCAAGTCCCACCTGGGCAACTTAGTGGGACCCTGTTTCAAAACAAACAAAACAGGATGAGGTTGTAGTGCAGTGGTAAAGTGTCCCTGACTTTGAGCCTCAGTACAAAAAAAAAAAATGTAAGCTATGTGTCCATATTGAAAGTATTTTTTCTGTTCCCACAGGTAAACTCTATCACTTTGACACACATATTTACCAGAAAATGGTTTTTCTATGTAAGTCCACCTAAAACCCTTAACAGCAGAGAGAAGCAGGAAATCTAGATGCCATGCTCAGAAAGAAACCTGAGTGAAGCCAAATGCTGAAATGGAAGTTCATGAAAACATCTGCACCTCAAACCTGTGCTGCAGAATACAGGGTATCTTTCCTACGCTACATGAGCTTTAGAACTACGATGGTCCTGAGGGTGCTGGCAAACAAGGAATCTTTAACTCTACGCTCAGAATAAATGCCATTGATAAAACCATAACTGGAAGACTGCCTCAGTGAACAATTTGTTTCTGCTTTTATTGCATTTATTCTCCTTTCCCTCCTTTTATAGGAAACAGGTCAAAGTTCTTAATCCGGCAAAAAAAACCAAAACATGATTTCAAAAACATTCACAATAAGAGATCTTTCTGGGTAGGAAAATGAAGGCAAGTCGAGACCTGTATGCACGCCTTTTGGCAGTGTTTACTGCACCCCTAACAGCGGGAGTAGATGACACGTCCCAGCAAAAGCAAGGCTGGCTCTGCTGTTTCAAGTTACTAACACTTTCACGGCTCTTTATTCTTATGGTTTTCCACTTACTGATTAAAATTTTATTTTAAAAAATCTTATTCTTATGCTACAAAATGCCCAATTCAGAAAACTTACAACTGTTAAGGAAAATTTTGTTATTTTTAAGGTAATTAGACCTAAATCTAGAATATTATTTTCAAAATTTTTTTAGAGTTTAACTATTCTGTTTCTTTTGTATCATTTTAGCCTTTTTAGAATTATAAACTAAGTTTTGGGTATTAATTCATAAATGTGCATGGTAGTACTGAAAATCCTACAGTAAAAAGTTTGCATTTATGAACATTAAATAAACTAAAGAGCACAAAGATAGTTTAGTTCATCAGGCAGTTTTTTATACATTGTTAGTCACCTCTAAGTCAGTTACTGTTTTATAAGTTCTACTTTAACTGGAATCAGGTGGGGAAATTCAGACACGGGTGAGATTCTCGCCTCTTAACCTTCTCTTCCTACGTCATTAATAGATGATTTCTTAATTCATATTTCTATTTGACTAAACATAGAAACATTTAGAGAAGAGCAAACACTGCTGCGCGTTCAATCCATGCCTAGAACACGTTTGAAGTACAAGCAAAAAGTAATCGTGCGTTCACAGCGCGTACTTGTCCATCTGCGAATTCCAGCGTCCCGAGGGAGGGCAAGAAGTCCTCGGAGCCAGCGCTGCCAGGCGTGGCTGTCCAGTGAACACTCACGAGGCCAAAGCTTCCGGCCAGCCGGGCCACAGGAATCAGGAGGATGTTCAAGGGCGGCGGCAGCTCGTGGGCAGCGACAGTGCCACCAGCGTCCTGCAGTCAAAAGGCAAGACCGAGTGAGACTCTCCTGTGAGTGCTTTCTCCGCCTTTTGTTCCCACTTAGCTCTCTCAAACTATCTCTTCAAAGTACACATTCATAGCCGTAGGTATAAGGCTGCAATTTAATGAAAACAGTCCTCTTAATCCTTCCGCCTAGTTCAAAGAGAACCAAGAATTAGTTAATGAATTTATAAATATCCACACGCAAAACCAGTTGTTTTGGAGAAAATATAGAAAATCAGCAGAGATAAGCTTATCTGTTGCTCTATGACTATAAACATGCAAAAGCGCATCTTACCCTGGTGACATGGAATTTAAAGACGCCCCGGGGATCGTCATTTTCCTCGATCACTACCTCAGCCGTTTCCAGTCCAGGTCTCCGCACACGCGGCGGTTCCGCAGAGAAATCAGAGCTGACAAGGTTCACCTCAGTGATGGCGACCACAAATCCTTCCTCCAACTCGGGAGCATCATCCTGGGTGGGGAGAGGAGGTAGTCTGACTTCCTCAAACTTACTTAATTTGCATCGGAAACTTGATATTTTTCAGCAAGGAACTGACTACAACTACAGAAACTGGCAACTCTGTAACACGTCAAAAAAGATTTCTTATTGTATTTTGATACATTTCCACTGAAACTTCAGGATCCATGGGGTATTTAAGATTAAGGTGATGTTTCAATGAAGTTTTCATTTTCAATAGCAAATAAAATAATTTTTAAAAATCTATCATTCAATTTTGACCGTTATCTATTGAAAATTTTACATATCATACCCCAAAAGAAATTTAAGAGAAATTGGTAAATTCTACGTTTTAAAAGTGAAAGCTCTGAACTTGTAAATCTAGATGTAGTTCTATATTTTAATTAATTAAAAAATTAACTTTATGCTTGAACGGGTAACAACAATTTTAAAATATAAAAAGAAAACATATGTAAAAAGAAAGGAAATCTCCTTTCTACTCTGTCCCCCTTGTCTTAGATTGTCCTCTCCAAAAGACACTATTATGTAATATCACCAATACCACTAGTACTACTGCTAATATTATAGACTGCATTTATTTAGTAATAAATTTATAACAGATAACATAGTTAATATAAAATATTACATGTAAACATGATATTTGATCATATAAATAACCCAAATGCCATTATTCCCACTTTCAGTTTTTGTGCCTCATTACAAGTGTGTGTATCCACATATTCTCTCTTCCTTCTGATCTCTATATAAACACATAAAGAGAGACATACATAGATATTAGAGTAGATATGTTGGTGGTTAGGCTTATTGTGTCAACTTGATTGGCTTAAGACATGCCCAGGGGATTAGTAAAGCCCACTTCTGGGTGTCTGGATGGGTCCCAGAGGAGTGGCCTTGAAGACAATACCTGGTCCTCTGGGAATACACCATTCCCCTGCTCTGCTTCCTCTTTGCCCTGAACTAAGCAGCTCTGCTCTGCCATGCCCTTCCACCATGATGGTTTTTGCCCTGGTGCCAGCTGACCATGAACTGAATCTCCTGAACTGTGAGCCAAATTAAACTTCTTCTTTATGTTGTAGATGTCAGATACTATCTCCAAGTGGTGGAAAAGCTAAGTACTGTAACACAGAAAATAGGTACCTAAGACTAAAACTAAACCACCTGGATATTAATCTTGATTTGAGCAATTGTGTGATGAAATGAAAACACTCCCCTGTCAAAACAATAAAAATAACCAGATTGACTTAGGCCTTTCATTCACTCAGCTATTAGTTTAAAGGAACAAACCAGTCTACATAATAGTGGAGCCAATCAGATATGCAATCAAATAAAGTAAATGTTTCAAAGTTCATTCAAATTATTTTCATTGAAAAATAAAAATGAAGAATACACTCGTCACTTTTGCTAGCTATATAAGATACTTCCTCATTATTAAATAATTGTTTGGGTGGGAAATTACAGCTGTGTGTTTAACAGCATCCTTTTAAAACAAATTTTTACCTATAAAAGCATCACAATTTTACATTTAAGAGTATTTTTCTTCATTTTACAACATCTTTATTGCAATCTATACTTACTGGTAAAATGGCAATTTTGGCATGAGTTTCTTTTATGTTTTCTTTCATCATTATTATTGTTTCTTGTAATACATAATCTTCATTCTCAGTAGCTTGGTTATTGATGTGCAGTAACAAATTAGGTTTAGCTATCAAGTGAATGGCAACATCCCCAAATAGTCCTTCATCTCGGACAATTTGTAACTGAAGAATAGTGATGTTCTCTACGAGATAGAAATGTCCTAGGTAAGTAAGTGTTTCTGTTTGCTGTCAATGCTGTTCCAAGCACTCGTGGTGGGATGTTCTGCACTAGCCTTTTAGGCAGTTAAGGAACGAGGGCAAATAAAAACAACATATACTACCAAGGAATATTCTCTGCTTTGTCCTTCCCCAAAATTGGGCTGAGAATCACCATCTGCTGCCAGCCTTAGATCTCACATAAACCCCTCAGTTCTGACTCACCGCAGCCTCCTAGGTTATACACATCACACACTGTAACTGAAACCACAAAAGTCTCAGGGCCGTGCACATATGAAGGTAGAAGAGGTGACAATTACACAGGTTCAAATGACCCTTTGAAGGTGAGTAATGAAATACACAATCACCATTTAATGCCCAGTCATTAGAAAAAGTAATTTTGTTCTTATACTGTAGACGCCTATGACAAGGTTCAAAGTGTTTCACAGCAACTAATTTTTATTTTATTTCTTAGATTTTTTTCTGAGATTCTTTAATAAAATGAAATTTTTAAAAATGCCTGTCAACATTCTCCACTGGTCTATAAGTTTCTGATAATTTAATATTGTGTCTTCATTTCAAAACACAGTACAACATTCCTTATACTTACTAGGTGTTTCCGAAACATTCCATGAATGAGAAAATTAACAGATCATTTTACTGTACATAAGTCTACTATTTCTGTTATATATTTATGGTATTTAAAATCCTAGGAGCAAAACTCCAGGCCATTTTTTTCTTTCTATCAGCTCTTTAAATGAAAGTTATTTAAAAGCTGAATATTATCTGAAAACTTTAGCATCTTTACATAGTATGTTCTAAAGACACATTATACATAACCTTTTCTTTAAATAAGTCAAATGACCTTTACCTTAAATATGTGTATTATTAACTGTGTACAGTAATTATTGAAAATGTATAGAGAGAAAGTCTGAGTGAGGAAGGAGAATGTATAAAGAAACCATGAAAAAGATGAAGTAAATAAAAACCAGTCACGAATCCTTCAAAGTCTTGGCTACAGTGTTAACATTTCCATTATGTTAGTATATATTTAAAAATTTTATACTTATAAGTATATAATTAAAATTAAATATTTTAGTAGCCTTATTGCTAAGCATGATCATGAAATTTACATGATCATGTAATTTAATAAAAATAAACAAAAAGGACTACAACCTACTGGAGTGAAAAGGTCGCATGAAAAATGTGCATCCCTGCTAAGTGTAAGAGAATAACACTACGCAATGAAACGTCTCCCTAAAATCCGAGAAATATGTCACAGGATTCACCTGCAGGCTCTGCCACCCTACTGAGGAGAGATCCTGAGTGCCAGCCCACCAGGCCATGGGGGGAGTCGCTGGGCAGAGTGGTGATCACGGACTTGTTTCTTTGCAGATGGATAGCGGCACCTCTGGATGGGTCCTCCACACCTTCCGTGGTAATGTGGGCAAGGGTCACAGTCACAACCTCTGATAACTCCGGTGTGTCATCCGCAAGAACAGTCAGAGTGATGGTAGACAGCGTCTGTCCTTCAGCAAATGAAATCTAAATTTTATAGAAAGAAGATTATTCAGTTTGTAATTATCACTGGGCAGTAAGAATATCAAAAGATTTGATTTTCTTTTAATATAGTCACAACTTAAATAACAAAAGATAGGTAAACAACATAATATGATTATACAAATAATCAAATGACTTTCATGTTACAAGTGTAAGATTGTTAGGAAAAAAAATAAAGTGAACCCTTTCTGAATCCTAAACGAATAAAACCTGTAGCCCAAATTTCATATCCTGTAGCCTACATTTATTTCATTATGTCACAGAGCGTAAAGTCTTTCAGAAAAGTTAAGTGCTTGATACAACATGTAAAGCTCTATAAAAATAAAAGGAGGTGGCACACTAGTTTAAACACTTTTTCTCTATTAAGCTTTTGCCAGAACTACTACACCACACAGAAGTATCATTTAACAATGAGTTAGCCAAAATAGCAGAGAGAAAGATAAGGAGACATCACACCATCTCTCTTCTCCTTTGGAGCCTCCAATGCTTAAAAAGTAAAATCCAGGGGTGGGAGATTTAGCTCAGTGGTTCCACCGCCTACCTCGCAAGTGCAAGGTTCTGAGTTCGATCCTGGTACCAAAAAAAACCAAAAAGTGAAATCCAGATTTGCTGAAAGCCATCTGAAGCCCTTGCTCCCGGAGCCCAGCCTGCTTCTTGGCCGCCATTTCCCATGGTGCCCCACTGTTTATCCATTCTCCAGCAATGTGAGCACAAACTACAATTCATCAGACTAGCAGGTCAGGGCTATGGCCACCGCTGCTGACCCAAGGAAGGCACTGATAGCTAAAACCCCAAGAGCTTTATTAATAAGATCAGGGGTCAGAAAACTGCTGCCTGCTGGCCAACTCCATTTCTCATAAACAAAGTTTGACTAGAACCCAGCCAAGCTTCTCGACTGCATACTGTCTGCCACTGCCTGCACTGCCAGCTTCACACTGTCCAGCACAACTGTGCCACAAAGATGAAGGAATCATGAAAGAGGACAGGAGGCTCACAAAGCCTAAAGTATTTACTATCTGCCCTTTACTGGAAAAACAAAAACAAAAGTAAAAAAAACGCCCTGACTCCTGAGTAAAATAATTCTTTTAAAAATACTCTACATTTAAGATAATGTTAGACATATAACTTAGAAATTCTTTTTTTTTTTTGGTACTGGGGATCGAACTCAAGTCCTTGTACTTGTGAGGCAGGCGGCAGAACCACTGAGCTAAATCCCCGGCCCTAACTTAGAAATTTTAATCATGTTGAAATGTAATTCAGAACATACAGATCCTAAGAGATCTGACTTAGTTTTGTAAGCTGGCAGGATGCAAATATTAAATATAACAGAAATTCTGAATACAGGGAAGCTCCAATGACCTTTCAAATGGTACAGGAACTTGGAACTGCTGGACTATGATATATAATTGTCCTTTTTTGAGATAACTTTATAAGGGTTCCTTTAAAATAGTTCTCAGAGAAGCATTTAGGCAAGGTTTTCTGATTAATCCATGAGGTAACCCAGGGGCCGATCTGTCTTCAACTGGAACCAAAGGCTCCCTCAGCCTCTCCTGCGAGTCATCCACTCCTCTAGCTGTGCTGCTTCCATTCTTAACCCTGAGACCCTACAGTCCTGTCCTCCAGCAGTGCATGTCAGGAGTCCTTCTCCAGCTGCTGGACCCACCCTTGGCTGGCTGTGGGAACAAGGGCTTTCATGGTCCTCATGGGGGACAGCCCAAGGCTGCAGCCCAAGCGTCTCCCCCAGAGCCACACCCTACCTAGACTGAGAAGGTGGCCTGAAGTGAAGAACTGCTAAAATGAGGTGCCAACAGCCCAGACCAAACTCGGAACAACACCAAAGGACCAACTTGGTTGCAGAACCGCCCACAGGCCCGACCTCAATTGCAACTGCTCTCGGATCACTTTCCTCCCTTCCTTACAGGTGGAACTCGCATGCCCCCCTGCCCTTCTGACTTGATCTCAGTCCATTCACAGGAAATCCAACCTACATCCTTCCACAACTTCGATCACCCTTCATGAAGGTATTTTACAAACATTTGCTCCTCGTGTACCAAAATCTTGACATCAGGTTCTCACCCCCAGTTTGGTTGGTTTTATTTTCCGACAGTGTAATACACTGATAATTTGGCCAAGTGATGTACTGAACCAAAAAGGGATGACTTTTTCTTTACAGATAATTCTGGTTTTACAGAAAAAAACACCAACCACAGCAAGGAAACTAAAGTGCATCCCTCTCTCCAGTGCTAAGTAGGACCCCAGGGCTGACAAGGTCAACTGACTCATCTTGTCCATGCAGCAGGACTTGGTGCTGTGCAGCAACAGTAACTGTAACTTACAGTGTCTCCCGGCTTTGGAAATTACGTACCACTCCTGAGGTAGGAAATATATCATCAACACTTCCGTCGGCTTCCCACGCTACCGTTACGTGACCGTATGTTCCCTTTAAGCGCTCAACATTCAAGGTGACCAGGCTATCTTGCTCCATTTCCTCCACCTGTTTATATAATGAATTCTGCAAAGACACATAGAAAGTCACAAGAGGTGACCTTGAAGTACCTAGCCAATTTTTTTTAATTTCATGTTATTATGCATTTGCAGACTTCACAGTATGAAATAACATAAGATAGAGGGAAAAACTAACAGTTAAAAAAATAATGCAAGGATGTTTATGATTTTAAAATATTCATGTTAAGGTAAGTAAAACACTAAAGCCAATAAAAAGCATTAATTTTATAGGATTATTTTTATTTTTGTCTTCCTGTTTCTATATTTTTCAAATTTTGCCCAATGAACATACATGACTTTTATACTCAGAAAGCATAAACTTTCAAAAAGTACCACATAGCACATAGAAAGTTTGTAGAACACAAAGGACACAGAGTCAGGAGAGCTGGAAAGCCTGTTTTTGCTGGGTGGATGTGGCACTTCCTCCACATCTTGGTTTCCTGCTGGTAAAATAAGAGTTGGCCCTAACAGCCTCCAACGTGCCAGCCAGGTACAACGGTGTCATGGGAATCAGGGTGCTCTTTCTGATCCTTTGCAAATGTCTCTCACCCTTAAACCCATGTCCTCTGCCATGTTGACCTATTTCTACTGATGGTGTTTCACTCTAAGCTTATGGTTTTTCTACCAGAAATACCCCTCTACCTTGTGTTAAAATCCCTTTCTTCTCTGTGTGACTATAACATTTTTCACAAAACACACACAACACCTCTTGCCAAACATTATGAACTTTTCCTTAAAATGAACAGTTTAGAAAATCCCTTCTTAAACACCTATGGCTTCTCAATAGTCAAAAAGGGAAAAATATGGAGCATAGAGATATTTTTATCTTTCTGGGAAGATTTTTCATGTCTTTTTACTACAATAATATGAAAAAAGACTCCCTCATTAATTTCTTAAAACTTACAAAACCTATTTAGAATGCTACTTGGAGTAGAGATCCTACCCTATGAGATATTTTATATGAAACTTTAACACATTATTATAGATGTTACATAGCAATAAAATCTTGCTCAAGACAACCACAGTCCTGAAGAAAATCCCTTGATTTTAAAATATGCATATAATTATTTAGAAGAGACAATGCCTTAAAAAAAAAGAGAGAAGCCTTTTGTTGGGTCCTCGTCCTCCATGAATGACAGCTGGTAAAGCAAGGCTTTTATGGAGACAGGAAACACTCAAGAAATTCTCATCATCTGCTAAGCCTCATCCCGGAAGCTGTCCAGACACCACAGCTGCACAGAGGGATTCTACGGACAGACTGGACCCAGGTTCCCAGCCCTTGCAAGGCGGCCTGACAGTGGTTTCAGTCTCTGGGGCAGCTTGGAACTAAGTGCTGAGGGGTGCAGTGTGCTCTCCGACTGCAGCCACACTCCAGGTGACAGGATGGGACCCACCCCGGAGCCCACTCTGCCCATCCCTGTCTTGGTCCTGTCCCAAGAGCCCACGGTGCCATCTCCCTGCCAGGTGCACAGCAGGCTCGCCAAGCCCGGTGCGTGCCAGGCTCTGTCATGGGACAGAGGGACAGCTGTGCCCAGAGTGGGCCCCTGGCTCCCGGGGTTTTCAGTTCCAATGAAAGGTGAGAAGTGACAGACTGTCAGTGCCACAACAAGCAAGCGAGGGTACAGAGTGATGCCGGGGTCTTGTGTCTCCACCGGGGAAGCCTCTCTGGTACATGGACTGCCAGCCCAGACCAAAAGAAAGAGAGTAACTGTGAGCGCTTGTGGGGACAGGCAGGGACAGGGACCTTCTCTGTCTTTCCAACTCCCCCAACACAGAGCCCATGTCCTGCGCCTACACTGCCCTCCCCAGAGCCACCCCCACGTGTGGCTGCTGACCCTGAATGTAGTCTAGGTGCAAAAGTACGCTGGAGTTAGACACAAGAACAAATATTTCACCAATAATTGTATGCAGATCTTACATGGAAATTATAATATTTTAGATATATTGAGTTATGTGGAATATTAACCTGACCCTCTTTCTTCTCCTTTTCTAAAATGTGCCTGCTAGAAACTTTAAAGGTCCATGTGTGGCTCTCCTATTTCTATTTGGCCTCAGCCGAGGCTGACGTGCCTATAAGTCCAGGGATGGGCCATGCTGGATCTCATTAGGATCGGAGCCTTGCAGGCAATGACTGAGGGCATGGATCAGCACACCCGAGCTCCTCCTGACCTTCCCGACCCTGCATCTCCCAGGTCTCGCTGAGGGAGATTCCTGCCTCCACAGCCCTGCCAGCCTCCGAACTGGTCTACTGCTGTCCTCACCCACTTACTCAGTGTTCTCAATACTACAGCCAGAGGGCTTAGTTTTCCTAAACTTTATTAGTACAAGTTTGCAATATGTGATGATTACATGCATTGTGGGGAGCTGGTACGTGTACAAAACACTTCTTAATTCTTCCTCTTCCCCTTCCCTACACCTCTTGGTCCCCCTCCCATTTGCAAAAAATTCTATTTCCTATCATCTATCTTTTATTTTGCTCTTTAATTTATTCGTATTTTGGGGTTTTCATATGAGTAACCATGCGGTATTGAAGCTTGTGTGTCTATTTCACTTAACATTATGATCTCAAGGTGCATCCATTTTCCCACAAATGACTCGAGTTCATCTTTCTTTATGGCAGAGTAGTACTCCGTGGTGTGTAAATACCACATTTTCTTTATCCATTCACCTGTTGATGGACATTCAGCCCGCTTCCAAGATTTATCTATTAGGAATTGTGCCGCTACAAGCATGAGTATGCATGTGTCACACTGTATTAGGACATCTTTTAACTCTTTTGGGAAGATACCTAGAAGGGAGAAACTGGGTCAAATGGAATTTCTACTTTTACTTAATTTCCATGTTTTTAAAAATGCGAGTCAGTACATCTACCCTTCTACCCCATCCCTTTCAGAAGCTCCATATTCGCTCAGAGGTCAAAGTCACCATGGTGCTAAGGGCTCATGCAGGAAAGTGTTGCCACAGCAAGGCTGAATGCCAGTCTCAAGCAGGTCTCCCTACGAGGCCAGAATGGTAAGTGGTTGCTGTGTTTGAACTGTGTGCACAAATGACGCTTTATGCCAACATGTGCTTTCCTTCTGGGAGTCTGGGATTTTGGTAGGTGCCAGGCACAGGGTGCCTACATGCCCAACCTCCAATTAAAACCTCAGCCAGTGAGACTTCTGGTGAGCCTCTCTGGGTGGCAAAGTTGTGCAGACTGATGGCAAGGAAATTAAGTGCACCTCGTGTGGCTCCTCTGCAAGGCCGCTCTTGGATGCTTATGCCTGCTTTCTCCCATACTTCACCCCACAAGCAGAAATCAGTCTCTCCTCGATGATTTTCTGTTGTTCATTTTGCTATCATAAATCACAGCCAGGAGTATGAGGGACACTAAGGCTACGAGTGCTCGGAGGGAATCGTCAGCACTGTGGGTGCCGTGGGGTCTGACACAGGGTCCCCTCTCTGCCCTTCTCTGCTGTGTACCGAGTGCAGCCATCGCAGCCTCCCGTCTGCTCCACACTGGCCAGGTCTCAGCGCAGGCCTTTGTCTTAGCTGTCCCAAACCTGGAGGTGCACACGGCTCACTCCTGACCCCCCGCTGGCCTCTGCTCTTCTGTCACTTTCTCCATGCAGCCCTGCCTGATCCCCTAAATTTGATTTTCCCACCTACAACCTTCCGCCCCCTGTACGCGCCTCATGCCTTCCCTGCCAGCTCCTGTTAGGATCTGGGTCTGGATGCACCCCCCCCCCCAGCCTCATGCAGTCAGAGGTGGCTGAATCTAGAGGCTGTGATTCTGGGATTAATGGCGTGTGATTACTACACCACTGCACGGGAGTGATTGGTCTGGCACCAGCCTAATTCCGGTCGTCTGGATAAAAGGGCAGAAAGAAGCTGTTAAGGCCCCTTGTTGCTTCTGCTGTCTTCCACTGCCACCCTGCCTTGGAGCCGCCCAATTACGGACTGAAACCGCTACAAACTGTGAGCCAAATACACCTGACCCCTTTTACTTTGGGCGTTGGGTATTTCGCTTCAGCAACAAGAGAGAAGTAACCGAGACAGCCCCTGCAGCTCTTCCTCCATTAGGCACAGTGCCCTTCTCCTGTGTCTGTGCTGACTGCCTCTCTTCCCTCTCGCCCTAGGTTTAAGGACCACAAATACAGATTTTTGCTATCTCACTCTGCGACATGTCTTTAGCCTCTGGTACAGTATCGGGAACATACACGTGCTGGTGTTTGGTAGAAGTCTGTGCCTGGATCCATGAATGAGTGAAAGGCAAGTGGGCGGGCTCATTACCCAGTTCTGGCCAGCAAGGGGTAAGGAGTTTTTCTAGAGGCTTTAGGAAATTTCTCCCTCAACTGAACAGTCACATAAAGCACCTCTCTGTTCCTAACTGGACATGAACAGAAAGCAGCAGCCCAACGATGACAGCAGTCTTGAAACAACTAAAGAGAGGACCAGCTTTGTATCAATGAAGGGAAAGGGGGAAGGGCCTGAACAGGGTGACACAGGACATGCCCAGCCCAGCCCAGCCCAGCCCAGCCTAGGGCTCCCCTTCTGGGGGACACGCTCTTAGCTCTTAAGCCAGCTCGATCAGGCTTTGCTTCTGTGCAGAAGACTGTGGAGAGAGATACCAACAGCTACAGATACAACTCTAGTTATGGAGCCAGAACACACTTCACAGATGGGGATAATGACACACGTGGGAGGAGTGGCTGTCCTGCCACTCAGTCTGGGCCCGGGAGCACACTGAGAGCTTTGCATAGTTCTCCTGAGGACCAGGGCATCCAGGCACGGACCATGCACACACGGTGGCAGCCCCTCTCTGTCCCCACCCCCAGGAATAGATCTGTGTGTGACACAAGCGTTCCTGGGGCATTTAGAATCTGTTCCATCGTTGTGGCCTGGTAAGGCTGCCCGGAGACCAACTGTTAACACACCCAATCCAATCCTGTAAACAGAATAAACGATTAGGACAGGTTGTCCTAGAGAGCCAGTGTATAGGGCTGGAGGCTGTAAGCTGTCGCCAGGAGTCATCTTAGCACGCAGAGTCCGGGTGAAGCAGTGCCAAAAGGGGTGAGAAAGGCTGAAAACACACAAAGCCCTGCGCACCCCTGAGCGCTGATTCAGAGGAATCTGTCAGCACCAGAATAAAGCATCTCGAGCATCTCAAGCCGGACGGATGGAGCCTTCGGGGCTCTTACCTGGGCAAATGCGACCACTCCGTGCGCATCATCGTTAGACAGAATTGTTATTTTCACAGAGCCATGGGTTCCAATCTCTGCCCCGCCTGTGGGATTTTTAAGCTGAACTCTGAAGGACTCCTCCTCTTCTGGAACTGCATCGTCCAGGATAGTCACTGCTATTATAGCTTCTCTGTCGCCAGGTTCAAATATCAATTCACCTGAACTGGTGCAACAAGTCCCAGTAAAGTAAGTCAACAATAGCAATTTAAGGTAAAGACACAGCAGAGTCCTCATGAAATTCATTACTCTGAATAATATTATTTTGAAAAATTACAGTAACTTATAAATAAAAATTTTATACAAAATAAGCAAAGAATACTGATGAACTCAGTAGATGTGAGAAATATGGGTAATATCCACATTTCTGGCTGATAAAAGCTCTTATGTTCTGTATGTTTTGCGGTCACCAAGACTTAGAAATGGCGTGGAAGGCGGTGGGGAGAGCCCAGCAGGCATGGAAGGCCGAGCCTACCCGGGGACGAAGTCGGACTGGCTGGAGACGGAGGCCAGCTCCAGCACGTGAGAGTGAGGCACGCCGGCCACCAACACTAAGCTCTTGCTTGAGTTGAGGGACCTCACTGTGACAGATGCCGCTGCGTGAGCAGAAGGGGCTTCCAGCAGGAGAGAGAACTGGCTCCGCCCAGAATCCCAGCCATAGAGCGCAGACGCCTCTGGGCCAGCCAGAAGTATGTGGGCTGTGAAGAGGGAAGGGAGACAGAACAGAGAGAGGTGATCTGCACCATGCACTCACCCACCACTGCTTCCCAAGCAAAACCTTTCACACTTTCAAAGCTCCATTTGGACTTTTTCTTTCTTTTCTTTTCTTTTTATTTTGCGACAGGGTCTCACTAAGTCGTTAAGTTGCCCAAGAGGAGTTAGATTTTTGAGATCCTCCTGCCTCAGCTTCCAGAGTGCTGGAACTACACGAGTATGCCACACCTAGCTCCATTTTGATTTCTGAAGTAAATATAATTTCATTGCTGAAATAACTGAATATAAAGAATAATTTCTGAGTATTGTGGAATCATCAATCTAGTCTGACAATATACCCACACGTTTTAAGAAAAAACAAACCACAGGCTGATAAAACCCAGACAGACTTGGACTCTTTTGTAACTATCTCAATGTTTATTTAAAAGTATCTTTTCAAAAGGAAAAAATATCCATAACTGGGCCGGGGATTTAGCTCAGTGGTTTCACCACCTGCTGCACAAGTGCAAGGACCCGAGTTCGATCCCCGGTATCAAAAAAAAAAAATCCATAATTCTCATCACTAAATGTTTCACTTTTTGTGTTTTTATCTCTAGCCACCACCCATGTGAATTTAAATTGATAGTTATAAGCAGTATAAAGAATTCTCAATGATCTTCTGTTTTTATATCATACTTTTATATGCGGCTGCATTGTGTTCAAGTTATAATCTTAATGCATAAATAATAACCCTAAGTTGATCTTTAAGATATATTTAATAATTTCCCCAAATTGAATATTTGTTGTTACTGTTTTACATTTAACTTTTCAAGATTAAGTAGAGATAGAATTCTTCTTTTTCTTTTCTTATGCCACTGGGGGAACTGAACCCAGGGACTTCACACTGAGCCACATCCCCGGCCCCTCTTCATCTCTTATTTTGAGACAGGGTCTCACTAGGTTGCCCAGGCTGAGCGTGAGCTCCCTACCCTCCTGCCTCAGCTTCCCAGAGTGCTGGGATGACAGGGCTGTGCCACCATGCCTGGCTTGCCAATACTTTTTGAAATGTTATCAGAAAATCATGTTTTTGTCAATTAAAAACAATGGCACATAAGGGCCGGGGATTTAACTCAGTGGTTTCGTCGCCTGCCTCGAAAGCACAAGGACCCCCCAGTACCAAAAAAGAAAAAAAAAAAACAAACCAATGGCACATATTTGTATCTACAGAGTCTGGGTACAAACATGGACTAACAAAATAAAAAATTACAGAAAAAATATACAACAAAATGCACTAGATACAAATAATAAATTTAAACATTCACATTTTTTAGGTCGTTCACATTTGTAGCAGTTAATTTAAGTACAGTTTAGTACATAATGCATAAACAGTAAAGAATGTCAAGAAAGGTGCTGTTGATACACTTAAACCTCTAAATGGTGATACCTCTGTAAAGCTGGACACATTCAGAAAAGAATGAGGTCAGGTGCATCTCAACATCCCTGGAGTGTAGCTGACACACAGCTCAAAGGACACTGCGAACCAACCCCTCTGAGCACCACTGGACCTGCTCCCTTCATCCCGCCTCTCACCAAGGCTTCTTTCTAACCAAGCGCTGCTGCACACGTCGCATCATGTACAGAGACCACTGTGCTGATGGAGGGCCAGGGAGCTGCGCTCTTGCTGCTGCCGGGCATCGAGGTACAGCCTCACCCTGCATCACACTGGCAGAGCAGAGGCCACAGAATAAGCTCGAGGTATGCTTTTTACTGAACGTACATCACTTTTACACCGTTATAAAGTCAGTAATTGCAAAATACTAGCCTGAACCATTGTAAATTGGGGCCATCTGTATATGCATGCAGAAAACATTTTCTCAGAAAGCAACATTTGTACTCTATAAGAGCATGAAATTGAGCCAGAGAATTTACAAGGAAAAAAATCTTAAACCTCAACACTCAAGAGCCAAATTTTAACTACCACTGATCATAGAATCCTCCTCCATTTAGTAACACTATAAAAAACAGAAGTGTGTCAAAGGAAGGCCTCTGAGGAGACAGTTTAAAGAGTGTGGGTAAAGAGATGTTTCAGGACTAAATGCCCGGAAGTTAGCAGCGCTCCTAACATACAGAGCTGTGGGAATGTGAGGATGGACCAGCAAGAGAAAGTGCAGCCGGTCGGGGAGAGCTGCATGGGGAGCAGCATCCTCAGGCAACGGGCGAGCTCGGGGCAGGAGCTGAGGGGTCCTGAGGAAGGCCCGGGACAAGGCACGTCCTCCACGGGGCACTGTGGGGGCATCTGGGAGCTGGGAGGCAATGGCTGGCGCCTGGCCTGGAAGTCAGGCTCACATGGTGTAGTGCACATGGGCCACACGGGTGTGAGCATCTCTGTCCCCAGGTGCCCTGAACACTGACGAAGAAAACGCAGGGGTGCAGGGAGTGGTGCTTTCATCCAGATGACTTCCACAGTTGAGGTTCTGGTGATGCTGACAGTTTGGGGAAATCAGCAGAGAGATACGTGTCTCTCCACAGCATGAAGCATGCAGAAGTTTACATGAGATTAGAGTAAAGGGCTGGAATAGGATTAGGGACATAGTAAGCAAGTGTTAGCTATGGAGTTCCGTATTTTTCCACTCCTTTTCCCAAATACACTCCTTCAAATTCTCTTCAAACAGTGGAGTTCAACAAGGTTCATTTGGAAGCCCCCTTCTCACGCAAGTATATAATCTCTTTCTAGACCATTCCATCTCTACCGTGGAACAGTGATCCTCCGTACTGATGAATTCCCAATATACGCTTGTAATGAAACATGCTCTTCTGAGCTCCAACTAGGAATGTTTGCTCATGGGCATCTCAAATTTACCATATCCCACCAAGTTCATTATCTCCAGCCCCAAAACGGTAGTCCTCCTGCAAGCGTGCATGGGAACAGTCACAGCTCTGTGTACCCCTCCCTTGCAGAGACAGGTGAGCCCCATTCTGACCACCGCCAGCTGCCATGGGCTCTCCTGCCACCTCTTCTGAATCTGCCCACTGGGGCTTTCCACTGCACCACAGTCACTTCCTGACTCCCCATCAACATCTAGCCGGAAGTAGGACGTCAGCCTCATGTCTTCACAAAAATTCTCCTACCAGCTTCTCAGTTTTTCTCACAAAGGTACAGAGAGCCACTCTCTCCCAAGCCCCACCACCATCCCTCACATTTTCCACCTCCTCTTCATCTTCTCTTAAAAGCCACCCCAGCACTCTGAGAGTAGAGACCATAAGCCTTGAAGTCCCCGTCTACTGGTCTGATGAATGTTCGGTTCTACCACGTACCACCCTTCCCTGACACCTGTGGTGGCCATGTGTCTCTTCTGGCCCGTCCCTGCAGGAACATGGCTTCCCCGCACTTGACCTCTGGGCACAGGCTGCTACACCCTTTGGCCACACCTCATCTCACGCCTCTCTTTGCCTCTCACTCTTCCCCAACCCGGATTTGTCAACTCAAGAGTTCTTCCTTAGAAGGCTTTCTGAGTATCCCTCAAATCAAGTCAAGTCCTCTCCATTTCGTCTTACAACAGTACTTCATTCCATTCCTCTATGGCTAGAATCTTATTTTGGGGTGTGTGTGTGTATGTGTCTGTGTGTGTGTCTGTGTGTGTCTGTGTGTGTGTCTGTGTGTGTGTGTTAACTTCTCCAGGACAGGGACCTGTGATTTTTCAGTTTACTCTTTCCCCCAAAACCTACCACTCTGTATAGCCATAATTGGCATGGAAAAACATCTATTAACTAATAAGAGAGAGAGAGGAGATGGGAAGAGAAATTTACATGCCTTGTAGTCTTGGTTATATTCACTCTTCTTCTTCCATTTAAAGAATTCACTCACCGCCCAATAATCTCTGCCAAGTCATTAACCAGAATAAAACACATGGTCCTCATAGTCATGGCTCCAACCGAACAGCTTTAATAAAATATTTGACGAGTTCAAAATGAGAAAGTCCTTTAACATTATTTAATACATAATTTTAGCTTTCAGGGACCTATAATAAGCCATTCTAAATAATTACCTACAATCTTTTCATACTTCTAAAACCTCAAGTCACAGAAACAAAAGGAATAAAGAAGCCTCACATTGGGTCCCTTAATAAATCTCTAGCAAAACTCTCCAGAAATTCTTTCAGAACCTATGCCTATTATATTTTTAAAAAATCTTTAAAGAGAATTCTATAACTCTAATTCATGGCCCATCTCGGCAGCCCACTTCATCCTTAGAAACATTCATTAGACAACTATTCTGAATAATAATAAGGGACTCAAGTAGACACAGTCCACTTGAAACCTTGAGGTATAAGAGAAGCAAACATCTTAAAGGCACAAAATTAAAAGACAAATAGAGAAAACTAAACAGATTCATGATGAAAGACACACACTGTTCTCATAAATCAATCGTTACGTGACGGAGAAACTTGGTGAAGTAGACCACAGAATGGCGTTCCACTGAATGCCCTGCATGGGGCTGTGGACGAGGTAACACAGCTTTTTAAGGAGGTGACGAACAGCATGGACAGCACAGGACGGGTAGCAGGGAGGCCAGTGCTGAGGTGGGAAAGCCATGGGACAGTCCAGATGGGAGGAAGGGCCTGGGGGGACAGGGTACAAACGCAGGGCTGAGGGCAACGTAGGAAACATGGAGATGAAATACAATGAGATTTTTAAAAATTCTATTAAAAATTAGAGGCAAGTAACCTCTGATTCCTGGTCAGGGCTGAGGTGACCTAAGACGACAGCACCCTAAGTTCACAGTGTTAGCAGAGAAAGCAGCTGTCCAGCACCTAAAAGAAAAGCTCCAAAACAGGCCCTGGTGTTTGTGTGCAGCCTTCTTGTCTTCTCAGTACATTTTAACTTTGTGTGCTTTAACCTTCAGGAGCTCAACTACCACACACATCAATGTCTCCAAATCAAGGCCTCTTTCTGACTTCCCCTGATGCTTTTTTTACATCACCTCAAACTAAAGGCATCACGAACCAAGCTCACCATGATTCCTGCTAAAAGCACTTCCCCTGGATCTTAGTTTCCATGTTCTTCTCTTCTCAGGTGCCAGGGTGTGATGATGCTTGCTGCCACACTGTGCAGTCGTGGAGTACTGCTGAGCCTTCTTTTCAAGAGCCCCTGACAATATGAGTCTTCATTTCCAACTTCTCACTCCAGCTCAGGGCTTTCTTCAACTACTATCTGTGCAGGCCACGTCACCCATAACGCTTCACACACCAAAGGGAGGGGCACTGTAAAGGATGGCTTTGATCTCACTTCTCTTTGAAATGCCATTAGGTAGTGCTCAGTGTGTGGTCTAGGAGCCCCTAAGAGTCCTTGAGACCCTTTTACAAAATCTGTGAGGTCAAAGCTTATTTTCAAAATAGTACGATGATGCTTGTCTACTTCACTTATGGGTCTCTAGTCAAACTTTCAGTAGTTCTGAGGGATAATATCGCAATAGGCTGAAAGCAGGCAGCAAAATCCAGATGTAGAAAGACAAATGCTGTCTGCTCAGTCTCACTTATTCAGGGTGAGTTTCCCTTATCAGAAATGTGTAAAACCAGAAGTGTTTTGAATTTCAGACTTTTTACAGATTTGGGGATATGCCGATATATGAAATATCTTGGGGGTGAGACCCAAAATCTAAACTCAAATTTGCAATTTATATAGGTATTATGAATGTACCCTGAAGGTAGTTTTTTATACAATGTTTTTAATAATCTTGTGTTTAAAGTTTTATAGTGTAGAATTTTTCATTCCTGCCACCATGTCAATGCTCAAGAAGTTTCAGCTAGGGCGGGGATGCAGCTCAGTGGTGCCATGACTGCCTGGCAAGCACAAAGCCCTGAGTTCAGTTCCCAGTACCAAAAAAAAGAAAGATGAAGTTTCAGCTTTTAGAGTATTTCAAATTTCAGATTTTCATGCTACAAATGCTCAACCTGTATGCAGAATCTAGAAGTGCTGCAGTCATAGAGACAGGAAGTAGAAGGGTGGCTGCCCAGGGTCTGAAAGGGTCGGGAGAGAAGGGTTTCGGTCAAAGGCACAAACTTCAGTTCTGGGTAAGTTCGGGGGTCTCACGGATAGCATGGTGACTACCAGGACTCGTAAGGTAACTTGCAGTTTGCTGAGAGTAAGAAGGTCTCAGGTGTTCTCCTGACAAAGAAGGGCAGATACGTGAAGTGAGGAAAAGGTCAGTCAGCTTGATCAAGGCCGTCGTTTCCAAAGCTGAACACAGAGCAAACGTGCATATCACACTGAGCAGCTTAAATGTATGTAAGATTTATTTGACAGTCACACTTAAATGCAGCTGGAAAAAAGCTAAGGAGTTAATCTGAAGAAAGAGACAATCCAAATATCATCTATTAGAACAGCCATTAAAGAGTTTCTCATATATTTTTTAATGCCACTCTTGACAAATTATCTTGTTTTTAGGAAATATAAGGGTTTTCTTAACTAAGTTGTGTTACTGATGTTTATATGTAATGCATATATTATCATTTAAAAATAAACTAATGAACATATTTTAAAGTTTCCCTGTTCTAGCATCATAAACATCAATGGATATAATCCACACAAAAGTTTCTGAGGTCCTGAAACAGTGAACAGTGAAAAGTTCCTAAGACCCAATGCTTGAAAATACCTGGACCCAAAGCACAAGGCAGGCGAGGACCTTCCCGGGGACCAGGAGCGGGTCTCCCTGAACTCAGCTCGGCGACACTCTACCAAGTCCTCCGCTGCCACACGGCCACCTGCTAGTGGTGCCCTCAAGGCCACAGACACTTCCGCTGCCTTCCCTGTGCTCGCGCCTCTCCCTGCTAACCCCCTCGGGTGCGGGCCAGGCTGCCCTTCCACCCCTCCCCGAGAAATGGGTATAATTGGCTCTCTGCCTCAAGTTGGTGTCTTAACATTTGTCTTGCTTCTCTAACCAGACTGCAAGACTTTAAAGGGAAGGAATTCTTTCTTAACATTATAGTGGCTTACACCTAATGTCAGAGGAGTCACTGTGTGCTGCTTCCTTCATACAGAAATGTCATGTATCATTCTCTGAGCAGGTCTGTGATTCAGGCCAATTCACCTGTGCGGCCCTTGGCCTTTGACGCCAGGTTCCTCTGGGCACCCTGACAGGAGACCACTGACCCACTAACTGTGTCCCCTGCTTACTGCTGAGGCAGCCTGCCCAGGTCACCACGCCAGCTGGCCTGCCAGGCAACTCCTGCCAAGCCTGAAATAACCCACAGCCTCTGACAGCAGAGACACTAGCACCCTTGGGAACAGACTCTGCTTCTGAAACCTCAGCGATGAGAAACACTGCTTAGGTTTCCGTAATGTGGATGAAGTACAGAGACGAGGAGGGATTCCAGGCTCCGACAGAGGCTCAGGGAAACAGAACAAGGGCAGCAAAGCCCTTACTGTCATTTCCTGACTCCTCAAAAATCCTTCAATGCAAGTATCTGCTCTGCTCTTACATAGACTTTCATATTTTAAAAATATATATTTATGTCACTCTTCATTATTCTCTTTTTTTTTAATTTTATTTTTTTATTCTCTCTCTTTTTTTGGTACCAGGGATCAAACTCAGGATGTTGCACTTACGAGGCAGGCAGTGGAACCATTGAGCTAAATCCCCATCCCACTCTTCATTATTCTCTAAACAAAAGAAACATCAAAAGAAATATACTCTCTACTCTTCATTAATATTCTCCTCCATAATTTAGTCATTTTATTTCTCTCAAGAACAGTGCACATTTGAAAAGCAGGAATCCTTTTGAAACTCTAGGACTTCTGGGAGGATTTTAGCCAAGTTTCATTTTATACTCCCATTATGATACCAACTGTCTGGCAAAGCGACACTTTATCAAATTCCATGAGACGAAAATCACTGTGGCTTTCCACGCCATCTTTTGTGTTGGTTAGCAGTTGAAAAGTCCTTACCTATTCCCGACGCTGGTGTGAAGGAATGGATTCTGTTCACAGTGGCAAAGTCCACGGACTGGAAATACCTGAAAGAAGGTTGCCCTGTCTCCCAGATGAAAATCTCAATGGAGTTCTGATCACCTACAATAATGGGATAAATCAACTTCAGATGAAAGCCACAGAAACAGATGGACAAAATTACACAGTAAGACTATCATAGACTATTAAATTTAATTTAAATAAATTTTCTCAGAATCCAATTAATTTCACCAAGCTACATCCTAGTAAGAAACACTTCAGAAGTCTTTTAGCATTTACACTACATTAAGTGTACACATGGCACTTTTTAAAAAATAACAAGGATGAAATGTTTTATTTTTTAGGATTGGGATTTTATGTATGAAAGTTTCAGTAAGCAGAAGAAAGCACATTCTTATTCAGGGAGTATTTTGCAACATTCTTATCAAAAGTTGCTAAACATTATTTATCAGTACTATAAAGTATCCATGGCATCCCAAGTATATCTATGTAAAAAGCTGCATGTTTGTACTTGGGGAGTAAAAGCTTCACACAGATGTTCCCACTTTACCTACCCACTACCAATTTTATTTCAACATAACTTTAAAATGGTGGTTCAGAACACCACAGTATTGCAGACATGTAATTTTTTCCAACTGCCAGTTAATATTTATCCATCAAGAAATAGTCTATTGATTATATAAAAAGTTATTACAAAGTATTTTTGTATAAAACACGTAAGTGCCACGTGACTTTTACAATAATTATAAATGCACTAGAAACATGATATCTTCTCACCTAGAGAGATATTTTTGGCAAAAATTAAGTAAACATCATTGCCCAAAGACAAAGTCTCGAGTTGTGTTGTCCCGCTGACAGGCAGCTCTTGAGAGGTAGCAAACACACCGCTGGACCATCGGAGCACCAGGGCAGCGTCTGCCTGGGAAAGGGTCAGGAACACAGAGCCGCCCCGCAGGAACATGGCTGTGGCCAGCACCCCGCGCACAGGGAGCTTCTGATGCGGCACGAAGATACCTCCCGTCCATCTGAAGACCTGGGGGAAACAAACAGGCAAACAGACTGCATGGCCGCAAATCTCGATCCCGTGAGAATTCAACCCGGCTCATGGGTTTGCTCTCTTTCATGTAGTTAGGAGGATGCCCTCATAAAAGGGGAAAATACCAAAATCACTGTTTTCTCCTTTTTTTTTTTTTTAGCTCTGTGTGTGTGTGTGTGTGTAATGAAAGAAACAGAAGTTATGTTGAAATCAGTATCAAATATACATCTGGGCAGAGGAAAGGGAAAGCCAAAAATAGAAGAGAATTAAACCAAACATGAAAGGTTTATAACCAGACACAAAACTTTCTGATGTGGCAAAGTCACTACCAGAAGCTCAAGCAATGAACAGAGAAACACCCAGACTATTTCATCTTCCTGGCAGCAACACCTACAAGACTTCAGGTAGGTGCTCACACATTTAAAATTAAAAGAAAATTCACAATCTACCTGGTTTCTCCTACAGCTGGTCACTGTCATAAAGACTTAGTCAACACTCAGGACCTTTGAAACGAGCACTAAGGTAGCAGCTGTGGATGCGGTGGCCTCTTCACTTAGGGATCTCATTCGGTTAAATTATCATTATTTGTGGATGACAGGATCCTCTACATAAAAAACCCCAAAACGGGCTGGGGATTTAGCTCAGTGGTTTTGCCGCCTGCTGCGCAAGTGCAAGGACCCTAGTTTGATCTCTGGTACCAAAAAAAAAAACCCCAAAAACTTCTACCAAAAGACTCCTGGAATTAATAACAAAATTCAGTAGCATAGCAGGATATAAAATCAATACACAAAAGTCAATAGTGTTACTGTACACTAATAATGAACTCAATGACAAAGAAATTAGGAAAACAATAACATTTACAATAGAACCAAGAAAAATTAAATACTTGGGCTTTAACCTAACTAAGGAAGTGAAAGACCTCTACAATGAAAACTGTAGTACTCTGAAAAAGGAAATCAAAGAGGACATCAGAAAATAGAACGTATCTTCTGTCCCTGGATAGGCAAAACCAGATACTCAAAATGACCATACTTCTCAACCTGTTATATAATTTAATGCAATTCCAGTCAAAATACCAATGGCATTCCTCAGAGAACTACAGAAAATTCTAAGATTTCCCAGTTAGAAAAGAGAGAAGGAGACTGAGAAGGATAACACACACCGAGTGAGGGGGGTACAATCTGTGGGGCCACCAGAGAGCCTGTCACACGCTGATGAGAAGCAACGTCAGGTAAGAGACACAGCCTTGCCCTGCTGCCACTGGGGGCTCGAGGAAGGAAAGACAAAGTATGATGACCAACTGCAGGGGGAGAAAAGAAACAGAAACCCAAAGAGGATGAGATCAGGGAAGGGATTTATTTTAAACTGCACAACTCTCGACTACTTATGCCAAGTGCCACACTGCCGCCCGGAGAGAAATGCCTATGATGGAGGGAAAATGGAAGCCTTAGGAGGGCCAGAGGGGCACCCATGGAAGAAGGCGGACTTCCACAGAAGGACGCGTCCCCCATCGCAGCAGGAAGGAGCACAGAGCAGGTTTCAAGTGGGATTTTTAATTTGGTGCTGGGAAAAGAGTAATCTCCCCTCTAGGAGCTTTCATTTCAACAAGTCTTAAACTGAAAGTGAGAAGATGTGAAGCAGGTACAGGAGTCTGAGTGATAAAAATTACCCCACAAGCATTATGAGGATTACAAGAGAAATGTGGGATTTCTGGGGTGATGGTGGGTGCCCATATGGTAATGTTAATCATGAATTTGCAGGGATCCCATCTGTCTAGTTGTGTGATTTTTCTCTATGAAAATTTCCAAATCAGTTACATTCTAATTAAATATTCATGCTTATTATTACATTTGCTCTGACTCTTGAAGAAAACATAAATATTCATAGCGCTGTTGTTTAAAAATTAACTGTGACCAATTAGTATTTATATTCTCCTTTACTATTCTACAATCAAATTATGGTTCTCAATTATATAAAATCTACAGACCATATCTGACAGATTTCAATTATAGTATTTTTAAAAAGGGGAAAAACTTCATTTTAAAAGAATCAAACCTGAGTTAATTCGGAATCATCTCTTTGACTTGCAACAATTAAATAATCTTGATTGTCTGAAGTAAAATATTTTACTTGGGAACTTTCTGAAATAATAATTGTTTGAACCTGCAAGGAAGAGTGGGAATAAAAGTGTAAAGGAGATTTTTAACTAAGAAAGGCAATGAATACAGGAACAGTATGAATATTTAAAGTTCAAGACTTGAAGAATTATTCGATTTGTAGATATGCATACATATCATTTCAAGAAAAACAAAAATACCCCAGAATTAAGATTCTTTGCTACAATGTGTGCCAATTTGCAAAAAAAAGTCCTTTGCCACCATAACATAAAACAAATTATTTTCCATTTTGATTAATCTTACAAATCTGAATTTTTAAGTAAAGCAATCTATTGGGAAAAAATGAAGAATTTTTTACCAAGAATAATTTGAATCCAGATGTTAATGTATATACACTATTAGCAGAAAGATTTTCTCCATTTCTTTCTTTATGAGTGATCACGAAGTAGGGGGAAAGACCAATATGAAAGGCCTCACACATTTTAGGATTTTCCATATTTACATCCTAGAAAATGAGGAATAACAATAATAATAGTAATTCATGCTACATCCAAAATTGAACAATATATTTTATTTTGTCTACTGTTAAAAAAAATGATGTTTACCTCAAGTGGAATAAAAATCCCTTGCCATCGATAAAGAGTAAATGATGATTTTCTTAACATTATACCATATAATGAATCTTCTAAAGTGAAGAAACACCAGCCAGCAGCTGACTCGTTCAAAAAACTTTGAATTATGGAAAGGACGACATCCATTCCTCCTAAAAACATAAGTCATAACTTAGCATTATACAACCACTGCCAAACCTTACCTACTAGAAAACTTAAAATAGTAACTACAAATAACGCTATTAAAACACAAGAGATGTATTAATCCTTTGCCGTGTGTCCATACAGACTTTTCCAAGGTATGCTTAAAAATAAATATTAGCTGAATAACTATAGAGGGAAATCTTTTGAACATGATTTTATCAACTTTTATAAAGATGATGAAGGGCCGGGGATTTAGCTCAGTGGTTCTGGTGCCTGCCTTGCAAATGCAAGGTCCTGAGTTTGATCCCAGGTACCAAAAAAAAAAAAAAAATCCTACTGCCTTGCATAAAGATGATGAAAATACAACTGAGAAAATTTTAAATAATCCCTTACTGAAACATGTCAAATGTTAGACTTTTACAACTTATTATTTTGAAACCATGCCCACCTGGTGATTTCACATTTTACATTTTATGTATTTTAAGAATGCCAATATAGATGCACATGCTTCAAATGGTTTTTTGAGGTTTAATTCAAAGAGCACAACTTGCACATATCCTAAAATTTTGTGCTACATAAAGAAAGACACAAAACTTCTATGCAATGAAGAGCAACTATAACAAAGTTTCTGTGATCTATTATTATGACTATTTTCCAAAGAAAGTATAATCTTTTCAAACTCTGACTAATGGTGTGAATAAGGTGCAACAAGAACAGATGTCAAGGTTGAAAGCCAGACTCCTTATAAATAACTGGCCATATTTAGATTCCCATTTCAAGAGGGCATAATGTCAATGCGTATGTGCAATGTCCATGAGCGATTTCCTTCCCGAAAAGTCCAACAGTCTAAATTCCCATTTTGCCACCTTCTGAATGGTTTCCACAGCTTGTTCTTTTTTTTTTTTTTTGTATTGGGGATTGAACTCAGGACCTTGGGCTTGCAAGGCAGGTATGGTGCCACTGAGCTAAATCCCTGGCTGTTCCATAGCTTTTCCACTAAGTCTTGAATGACCCTGATGTAGGGACAGACCCTTATCCACTGTAATTCAATTAGACAGTGAATGAAGCTTAAATAACCACTGACATTCAAGCATCTCCATTCTCACAAGAACTTCCAAAAAGCACATCAGAGCCTGAGGAACCATGAGAGAACTGAGTAAGAAACCATAATCTTTCTTGGTTGCCTTCTAGGCATCCATACTACTATTCATTAACCCCCTGCTCTTCTAAATATCCACTCTTGCTTTGTCTATTAGGTGTTTTCTAGCAGCACTGAAACATGCCTGCTTGGATCTCTCCAAACTAAGCAAACAAAACCCCCTCTTAATCCTCCACCACATCACTACCTCCTGTAGGTCCTACCTTCCCAGCCAAACTTCTTGAAATAGTCACACAGTTCCTTCACCTCCACTCAAGGTGTTACTCAGTTCTGTCCCACTGTACCAATGGCTCTTGCTGTGGTCATTAATGCTTTCTATATTGCTGATGGTGATGGTTATATTTTTGGGTCTTCATCCTATTAGACTTCTTGCCAGCAGATGACATAGTTTCTCTCTCCTTCCATCCTCTGCTGATGTCTGCAATCCTGGATTCTCCTGGGTTTCTCAATAGGTCTTCCCAACCTCCTCTGCGAGGTCATTAGGCTACTTGGATATTCAATTGGAGCTTTCTCACAGCTCAGCCTGGGTCCTCATGTCTTCTCAATAGGTGGCTTCTCTTTTCTGGTCCCATGATTGAAATACAATATACATGCTAAAGAGTCCAACATTTACCTTCCAGAGAAGACCTTCCTTTGAATCTAGAGCAGTGTCTTCTTAAAAATGATTCAAATTCAATATAATTCCTCTTTCCAATTCCTTTCCTCTGTGAATGGTGTGACCCTCCATCCAACAGCACAAGCTGGAAACCTAGCAGTCAGCCTTCCTACCTCCCTCACTCACTTCATACCCAGCCCATCACCTGTCTGAGCTACCATCAGCTGCTGCCTTTTTTATTATCTCCCTGGATCCTCTCCTCCGTACCAACTGATTCTTTGTGTGGCACTAAGACTAATATCAAAATGCAAACCTGATTATACCACACCACCCTCCTCCATTCCTAAACCACTCAAAGGCATAGTGTGAAAAAGTTCAATCTTTTAACCTCAGGATGAATTCTTACAGATTTTTCAAGCTCTTTAATGATCTGGTTTTCTGTAGTTCTGCAAGCTCAAAACTCTCTCTCCTCTCCATGCCAGTGTCCACGCACGCTCTTCACTTATGATGTCTTCTCGTGCCTCAGGTCTGCTCTCTCAACTGCTTCCCAGTCTTATCTCCAGGTTCCTCCGACCTGCTGCTCTGCACAATTAACCCTCACTTGTCATCCCCATGTCCTCAGAACTTGTAGCTTCCCTTTTAAAACATTTATTGTAGTTTGAACAACACATTGGCTTTTACTTATTTATTTTCTGATGGCTGCTAAATTGTAAGATCTATGAACTTTGTCCCATGCTTAGCACATGATAGGCACTCAATAAATATTTGTGGATGCAATAATAGGATTAGATATCTGTTCTCTACTTTCAGTGAATTTGCAAGATACAATCCATGAAAATAATATAAGTCTTATACATGAGTATTTCTTAGTTCTAGAATTTTGCTCCTATAAGAAATGAAACATACTCATGCCAAAGGCTGTTTCGGATACCGTTTCCCACTGCACATTCACAGCTAATTCAATGCCATTAGTACGCGATACATTTAAGTATACGGTCCTGTTGGCTTCTTCTGTGTTAATAGAGGTGGCCCTAAAAAGAGAAAAAAATGGATTGTGGAAAGCAGAAAAAGGAATAATTTATACATTTTAAAATATGTACCACATTGCCAGCACATACTTGATATGTTACTAAATTTATGCAACTTAAGTAACATCCACAAATTTTATATACCAGGGAGACTAGATTCTAGAACTAAAAAAATCATTCATTTATGGAGTTTTTCCAAAAAGTCCAATGCAGTACCCTTATACGATAATCCTAAGAAAATATTAAGAATCAGTAACTTCACATTATACATTCTAAAAAAAACACCCTATTTCTAAATTTCTTCACATGTAAATCAAAAACTTCTAACTAGGGGAAAATGAGTTAGGAAATTCTTTTTCTTTTTTTTTTTTTTTTTTTACCAGGGATCGAACTCGGGTCCTTGCATTTGCAAGGCAGGCGCCATTACCTCGAAAGCACAAGGTCCCGAGTTCAATCCCCAGTACCAAAAAAAAAAAAAAAGAAGAATGGCTCTATTCTAAGGTGGACTTGGAAAATTACTTCCCTCTAGAAGTTACTTCTAGGGGGCCAGGGGTTTAGCTCAGCAGCATTCTATTCCTCGTAACAAAAACAAAAACAAAACAACAAAAGAAATTAATTCTAGGAACAATCTTTTTTTTTGGTACCAGGGATCGAACTCAGGATCTTGCCCTTGCAAAGCAGGCAACGGAACCACTGAACTAAATCCTTGGCCCTAGGAATAATCTTTTTTTTGTTGTTGTTGTTTCTAGGAATAATCTTAATGGAAGAAGCATTTGATCAAACTCACCTGCACCTATATTGTTAAACATTACAAACATTTGTCTAAAGGAGTTCTACTAATGTTTTAATTATGGCCATCATTAATAATTGTTATGGTTCATATCTAGAGTCTTCCAAGAGCTTCATGTGCTCACAGACTGGGCTTCTGGAAGGTGACTGGATTATGGGGACACTACAGCTGACACTGTTTGGAGGTGGGGTCTGGTAAGGGGAGGAAGGTTAGTGAGGCCATGACTTGAAAGGGTGTTATCTCTCTCTCTAGCTTAGTCCTTTGCTCTCTGATTCCAGACCACTGTGATGTGAGTAGCCTACTCCTAGACCGTTCCACCATGTGGTTTCTATATTTGAGCCTGCTGAACAGAGTGACACTTCTAAAACGCAAGCCAAAACAATCCTCTGCTCCTTTAAGTTGTGGGCGTTGTGTATTATCTCTTAGTGACAAGAAAGTGCTTAAGACAATAATCATGTATAATTAGCCCCCTTTTTTCTCTGTTAGATTTCTGAGATAGGTCAATGCCCCAACATAGCTGTTTTTGTGCAACTATCTATCCCAGATACCTTGCTATAGAGAAACCTCTGCAGCTCCAGTTCAGCAATTCCTAGCTGTCCGTCTTCCTCTGTCAGGCGCCACCGAGCCTGAGCAAAGTAGAATTCAGTGCGACGGACCACACTCACATCTTCTTGCTGCTTTCGCAGCTCCATCTTGTTGGCCCGCTGCAGTTGGAAATCCTTAAAACACCTTTAAGTGGACAGAAGAGCCAAAGCCAGTAAGGGAAACAGCATGTAAACTGGGAGCAGGATGAGATGTTCTAGAATGATGAAGGTGGCAAACTTAGGGATGAACCTATTCTGGATTAGCCAATCCTTATATATATATATATATATATGTATTT